CCATCAAAGAAGTTCTCAAGTCATGGAGCTTGGCTAACCTGCCTACCTCAGCCCTTTGGAGAGAACACCACCAATCCAGCCTACCAAATCGCAAGGAGCTTGCCCACCGAACAAAAGATACCCGGCCTCCCTCTGATCATCCTTCACATTCATCCGGAGCCGATCATCGTTAGTTACGCTCATGTCCGAGAGATCATTCCAGAGCTCCTCTTCCCTAAGAATGGCTTGAAGCCTAAACATGACATCGTTCTCAACATCGGTCTGGCGCCAGGCCGGAACTTTTATACGCTGGAGACCCTCGCCCATAGAGATGGTTACAACAAGAAAGACGTTGATGGCAAGACCTTGGAGGGAGACACGTTTTGGCGGATAGAGTACAAAGCACCAGAGAGACTACACACCAGTTTTGACACTGAAGATGTGTGGAGGCGGTGGAAATCAAGCCTCGTGAATGAGGATCTTCGGCCCTCCAATAATGCTGGGCATTACCTTTGTGACTTCACGTATTATGCCTGTATGTTTGAGTATTGGCGGAGGGAGCACGGGGGACAGCGACCGTGTATGTTTCTACACGTTCCAAGTGGGCTGGAAGAGGAGGATATCGGAAGGGGCAGAGAGGTGGCTTTGGGACTGATTGCTGCACTTGTGAGCAGCGAGATGGCAGGAGACAAGAGCAAGAGAGTCGAAGATGGTATGGAAGAAAATGAGTGGGACCGTGCTGCTGACTATGAATGTAGTTAAAAACTGAATTATAAGAGGGGTATTTTCCAGACATTGACCAACACCATTTCCTTTCGTTCTCCCCCTTCTGCAGAAACAGAGCACAAGGTTTGCGTAAATGGAAGAAGGTCGACGGACGATGCCCGTGTGATCTATCCAAACAGCTTGGTTCATCCAGATAATTGTACGAAGCGGCCACATGGCGTCGTCGAACAGTGCCCAAGGCTTATCAATTGGAAGTGCTTCACAAGAGTAAATCCAGCATGGAAGGGCAGCCAATGGTATCGTAGCTCAGGTTGGACAGCGGTGACATAAACGAAAGATAGCGCTTGCAAAGTATCCCTCGCATTGGGAGCCTTTTGAAATCCCGAGCAGAGAAGTAATAATGCAGGTCGATGCCAATTCCTCACAGCGGCCTGAAATCCAGGGCAACCTCTCAAAGACAGGTATCCACGCACATGGTTGTAAGATACTGGCCTGAACCAGAAGATCGGTAGTCGGAAAAGCGCGTTTATAAGGCGCGTCCGCGTCGGTTTCGTGTCAAGAACCGCAAATGATTCACGAATAGTGATTCTTCCTGCAGCAAAGGAGCGTTTCGCTTGCACTATCCCGCCTGCAGTACGGAGGTCGCTGTTGGTCGTTAAGATCATGGAATACTACACGGGATCAAATGCTTCTGCATAGGCAAGTCCGGTTTCCAGCTTTCTGACAGACCGTGAAGTAAGACATTTCACGCTAAAAGGGTGGTCCAATTGTTCGCGAATCAGCTGCGTCGTAGAGGCAGAATGTAGGTACAGTACCTAAAGTACATTATGTACTAGGTACCTAGGTAGGTAGTCCGGACAGTACTGGTATCCTTCTTTTCAATGATAATGGTGAAGGCCGTAAAGTAGATTTGCAGGGGCGGGATGCAACCGAATTTTTACCCTACTTAAGGTAGAGTAAGCATTTGACGCGTACCTCTCTTAGCAGTCAGCTAAAACTGTACTTTCCTTGACGCGCTAATTTCAACGCACTTGTGACTTGACGCTTGAGACTGCCCATTCTCACCTATCTCATCCTGTCTCACCATCCATTGGCCCAACCCGGCCACCATCAACGCCTTCTGCAATCGCTCATCGTCCCGTCCGTGCAGTAGGTCCAATACTCAAAGACCCTACACCATTTCGCTCACCCTCGCTGCTTACCCCACCGACCAAGGGACCTCTATCAACCACAGTCTCAGCTCTGGAAATCTCGCACTCCCAACTGAACATCTTGCTACGCAACAGTGCTTCCAACCCCAAAGATCGAGTGCCCAAGCTCGAGACAGTCCATCTGCGAGGAGACTACGCTCAGTCTTCCCTACGAGACGGTCAACGGGTTGAAGAGCTGAGACCAGCCACTATATAGTTGCTCTGAGACTCCTCAGCATTTCCTTCTCGTCAGGGTCGAACGCTATCAAACCGACACAGAGCACCGATACTCACGTCGATCGGTCACATAATTCAATCTTTCAGCTACACCAGCAGCACTCCGCCCGAGACCTGCCCGACACCATCCTAAGACCACAATCGTTGACGATGATGAAAACCCATTGCTTGGGTTAGCTTCCCGTCGGACAAGACTTAGCTCAAGGCTCGTCTGCTTTTCCACTGCTCCTGGGCCCAAGTCTACGACAAACCATACCTGCTTTTGCTAGCGAGACACCCACATCGGGGTTGTTTCATTTGCTTGCGTAGGCTCTCACACTCTTTCGGCAATACGCTTCTGCCTCCTTGCTCCGTTAGCTACTCATCATGCCACGAACACGTCCACAATTGTCCATCACCCTCCCTCGCAATTTTACCTTTCATTACACAGAGGGCGAAGAACCCAAGACTCCGGAGCGAGAAGTACCAATACCCGTGCCCCAGTCTCCTCGACCAAGCAATGCCTATCGCTTCAAGCGGCGGTCTCGCCCCGGTGTGAATTCGATTTTCCAGGACAACAAGGATTCTATTAGCTCCAGCGATATCCCAGTCCCAACTATCGAGACGCCCATTGTGGTGGAGCCAACAAGGCCGGTAGTCCAGCAACGAGCCACCGAACCAGCAGAGGGTTACCTTGCGCCATTCGCAACTCGACCATTCATGACTCTACCACGCACTCCTATACAACAGCAACGTCGTTTGGCTTTGGCAGATGGCTGGAATGCCTCGATTCATCAGGATCTAGGCGATAGCATTACTCGTCCCATGTCTACTTGCTCCTTGCTCTCAGACTCTTCGGATGATTCAAATGGCAGTCTGACATCATATCCTGCTGGAGACGGCAGTTGCACGAGCCCAGAGAGCGATGCACCGGATCCATTTAAATTTGCTTCCATCAGAAAAAGCAAAGCCAAACAATGGGCAACACTTGCGAGAAACGACGACTCTATCCAGAGCGGTCTGTCGACTAAACAAGTTCGAGTGAACTGGACGCCCGAAATGGACAAGCATTTGTGGTCAATTTACCACGTGTACCTCCAGGATCCCACAGTAACGCCATTCAAGATGCTGCCCGGTACCGCTCCGCCTCTCGGAGTATGTCATCGCGTAGCTAGAGAAGCAAAAAGAAGTTGGCGTGGTGCGAAGACGAGCCTACGGAATCCTTCTTCAATGATTAGTCCACCTAATGTGGATGACCGCTTTAAGGCCGCAGCGACCTTTGCTCGCAGGCCTGGTTCTCCGGACACCATCAGAGCAGATCGGAGCGGTAGCAACACTCCAACGGGGTCGGCCACTGTCAAAGCGCCATTGTGGCCTAAGTCGAGTTCTTCGACAAGACGACGACTGCGTCATCTATGCAAATCCAAACCTACCATCGCACCTCACTACCAACGTCTACTTCAAAGTCGAAGCCCGTCACCTTTCTCCTCTAGCTCGCGCACTCAATCTCGTTCTCAGTCTCGTTTGTCCGAAGTGTGCAGTCCTTTCGAAAAGCAGACATCGTCCTTCAACACACGTGATATTCAGCTATCCTTGACCACCAGCACGGCGGCTTCTATGCAGCCACACGGCCCACTTGCAAAATTAGGTTCCGAAGATGCGACATGTTCACAGCCCCAGCAAGAGTGGTTCAACGAGCCTCCAGTACCTTGGGCATCACCAACTGCAATCCCGTCAGATGTGATAGATATTGATGTTGGCGGAAACGAAGAACCGATGCTCGCTCCACCGCCGCTCGGCTCTCCGTTTGGCTATCATACCTGGGGCCCAAGTCGATCTCGTCAACGTATTCGTCCCAGTACCTCAAGGATCCACTCGAGTGATGCCTCCACCCTCGGGCCATCACTCAGATCGCCGGTCCGGTTCTCTGACACGTTCCCGTATCCAGGAGTTCAAAAAAGACGTGCTCTTTATCCACTGGAGGACGAGTTGAGCCCAGGAGGTAGCAACATGCAGCAAAGTCTGCTCGACAATCTATTCGGAAGCCCTGCTGAAGGCCGCCATCGCCGTGTTCGAAGTCGCGGTTTCAGTCTCGGCGACGTCAACACGCCCAATCCCCTCGAAAGCCTCTTCACACCTCCACACTCTCGAGAGGGTATGGCTGGCATTCCAGATGCTACGCCACCAGGCCCAAGCTCTGGTCCCGCTGAGCCACGAACTCCGATTCGAACAATACGGCGCTTGGGATCGCCATTCCATCTTGTTCCTGCGACCCCGTCTCGTGGGTCATCACGACATTTGGCGACAATGAGTCTGGGAGGACACGAACATTTTACTTCTATTGGCGAGACGCTGGGTCAAGCAAACAAAAGCAGACTCCACAACCCGACGTGAATAGATAAGAAAGAGCCCTCTTCATATGACTTCGCCGCGTGCATACAATGGCCACACGATGGGCACCTCACTGACGCTTGGACTTCCTACACTTACTTTTCACGCATTCACATACGATTTCTATGGTTATGATGCAGTGCTCTTCTATTCGAAACCAAAGATTTGGCAGGTCCCCTGTCATGGACATACATATTCGCGAACACTACAGATGTTGATGATTCTACCACGACGGCGTTCACGGGTGGAAGATTGGTTAGATGACGGGATGATGATGGGTATCTCACGATGAAGCGTAGCAAATTGATGATCAAGGAGACCGTATTGTATTCACTCGAGTTTGCTGGATATATTGTGGCAGCGCAAGAGAGGCCATGCGGATATGTAAGATAGGTATCTAAAGTGAACCAAAGCGCCCTGCAGTTTCTCTCGACCCGATGAGCTCCAGGAAATGCCAAAAATTCGCAATGCATAGTCAAGGGACTAACATGCTCTGCTTCATTTCGTCTTCTTCTCCCTAATCCTCTCCTCAATCCGTCTCAAGCCAGCCTTCAGGCCTCCGTTCCTCCTCCCGCCTTCACCCGCCAACCACTCCTCCATCCCCTCCCTACACCTCCTCAGACCCTTCGTACAAGGCACCTTGCCTCCGACTTCACCCTCCACATTCGCAGCCGGGTTCAGCAAGATCTCAAACAAAGGTGCCCAAAGTTCGGACTGCCAATACCTCTTCAGCCCTTCCCTAAGCTTGTACTTCTTCTTCTGCCCAATACCCCCTCCTCGTTCGCCATTCGCGTCTTTATCATCCACCGCCACATCTTCGATATACTTGCCAAATAGTAGACTGTGTATGACACCAGCAATACCCCAGTAGTCAACTTGGTACGTCCAGGGCCGCATTTCACGCATCTCGACGCAATCTTGCTTGCCCGTTTTCCAATCCGCTACAAACTGCACGTCTTCTTTGAAAGCGCGCATGTCGATACCCCTACCGAAGTCTATCAAGCAGAGGCCCTTTGAAGCCCAACCTGCGCTACCGTCCGGCTGGTAGGTGGGGTCCCAACCTTCTTTCTCTTCGGGTTTCGACAAACGGACAAGGCAATTGTCGGCTTTGAGGTCGCCGTGCAGGATGCCCACGCTGTGCATAGCTTCCACTGTGCGTAGGAGTTCAACCGTGAAGAACATGGCTACGCTTTCCTCGAGCGTGCCATTTGTAGAGTTTGAAGGGTCTGTTTTGGCGAGGTTGACGAGGTCGAGAAGTGTCCCTTGGTCGAGGTAGGTTTCGAGGAGGTAGCCTTCGTCAGCGAAGAGATGCATCGAATGTGGCTTGAGAAGGGAGGGTGAGGCGCGGTGGGAAGAAGGAAGACGGCTCTGGAGAAGGGACATTATGTAGAATTCCCAGGATGTGGGAGGGTGCTCGCATTTCATTGCAACAAGGGTGCTGTTTTCTGGATCGGAGCTGTCTTCTTCAGCGAGGTAGACAGGTGCAAAAGCGCCTTTGCCGAGCTCGCGTTTTACGGTGTACGTCTTCGTTGACGCTTGGGGAAACCGAAGCGTTGGTGGCATGGAGATGGAGGTGGTAGTCTTGTCGGATCCGCTCTTGGCCTTTGCGAGAGCTTTGATGAATTTGCGGACTTCTGGGGCTCTGTTGCAGCTCAGGGGTCTGTAGTCATAGTATCCTGAGAAAGATGACAGTGGTGGTTTGACGCTCTCCAGTATACATTTACGGACAGAGTCGTCGACTGGATTGCATTGTGCATCTCTGATTATTGGTCCTTTGGCGTCTTGTGCCGAGTCCAAGGCAGTCTTCGAACTAGCAACCTTCAACTTGGGAACGCGTGGTGGCGGAGCTTCGTTGACGATTTCTTGAAAAGGGCTGCTGAGAAGCTCTTCGTCAATTTGAGGTGTTGCGTGCCCTTTGTTCTGGTGCCTCGAAGGTGTCTTTGAACTGAAGTAGTCTTTCTCTTCTCGTATCGTCAGAGCACCCATTGATGACTCGGTCTTTTCAACGATCGGTGTCATGAATGGCAGTCGATTCTGAGATACCTGGGACGGATCTCTATATGGTCGGGTAGGCGGCTCATAATCCTCTGGTGGTATAGGGACATATCTTGGTCGGATTGATCCATTCTCAGGCTCAGGTGAAATTGGCGTTATCAAATCTATATCTTCGTCTCTTCCGTCACCAATTGGATTAGCGTCTTCGAGCACTACGAAACCGTCCGTGGTTGCTCCGTTCGTGGCGTTTTCTTCAGATTCGTACGTATCCAATTTCGGAACATGCTTGCTTGCAGTGAAGTCGGACCACGGACTCACACTTGCGGCAGCACCATTAGTATCCTCGAGAGCGGCCACACTCTTCACATCTGTCTCAGTATCCCCAAACTCGCTAGTACCAGAGATCCTTCCAGTTCCTGTGCTTTCTCCTGCGCTGGTGTAATCGTCGTCGTCGTCGTCATAGTCGCTTTCACCAGCACTATCCTCTGGACCCGCCATTGGATCTACATTCCTCAGAGGCTGATTGAAGATATCCAAGATGTCTTCGGTGGCTGCTTTGGTATGGAGAGTCATGGTAGGTTCTGCAGATTTCTTGCGCCTCAGCTTTGGTCCCGTAGGCGATTCGAGATTTGTCAAGACTGCAAAAAGTAAGCTCCTTATTCCGAATTGTGGTAGTCTTCAATCATACTCGTCTGTGTCTCCCCCTTTACCTCCCTAATCTTTATCTTCTTCGGACGTCCAGCCCTGCCCTCTTGTCCGATGTCCACAGCGATTGTAGTCTCGAGCTGCGTATTGGAACTGCTGCGTGTGTCTGGATTGGTCCGAGCAGGTTGCAGAACACCGACCGCTTCTTCGGCGGAAGCAACTGTAGAGGCTTGATCTTCTGCTTCACGAGCCGGAGATGCTTCTGCTATCCTTTGCTTGCTTTCAGCTGCCCAATCACGATTCAACCAGCCTCTCGACTTGGCTCTCAATTCTTCGAAGCTCATCTCTTCGCTGTGATCACTATCATTAGGGTATACTGCTTCTAAATTCACGAAGACACGCTCGATCTTGCCTGTACGGGCATTCGTGACCTGTTGCTGGTCTGCATATCTCGACGGTTTTGATTCATTGGTATTCGTTACTTGTGAGCTTGACTAAATAACAAATGACGCCAGATTGCCAGCCATTAGTCCTATGATCGTAAATATATGTGCGGAGACATCTCACGAGCAGAACATACCTCGTCTTTGAAGATGGCCATCTTCGGTAGTCCACCTGTCTTTTTGCCTGCTCTCAGAGTCTCTCCTGTCCAAGGCCTAGCTTCCATGACGTTCTCTTTCTTACGATCTGCTATCGTTCCAATGTTATCCCACCCTTTGGCTGCTTCGACAGGACCGTTGACATCAGGTGCCGGTCCGTCAGCATCGCTGAATATTGCAAGCTTCTGTCTTCCTCCTCGCGCTGTTGATGACCCTCCAATTCCCGAGGGCAGTCGTGGAGCTTGCGGGTCTGACGATCGAGGTGTCGAAACCGCGAAAGGGTCCAACTTGGCCACTAATGCTGGTCGTACCGTCGGCAGTGCTGGAGACGAAGGCTCGTCTGCATTCTGCACTCGAGACTCGAAGCGATGCTGAAACTCTCCAAATTTGCGTATCAAACGCTCTGCGGGGCGAGCTTCTCGCTCAATACCAAGCTTATAGACCTCATCCGCTTGTGTCCACCTTGCAGCTCCTTCCAGCCATGCTGCAAACTCTTCGTAGAAAAGTGCAAGGCCTTCACCAATATTATGTCTTGCAAGGTATGCGAAAGTCTCTCGGGGAGCGTCTGAGAAGAATCGAATATAGTTCAGCCATAGTTTTAGGTATCGTGGATCGTTTTTATAGTGTGTCGCGGAGTGAAAAGCTTTGGTAGCTCGCTCGAGCAACGGTCGTAGTTGGGATTCTGGTGTTGCTTGAGCGGAGGGGTAGGCGCTTAGGGTCCATTTCACATATCGGTCATAGACATCTAGAGGGTCGTCGGAATCCGCAATTGCGATCAGCTCCAACTCGTACTCCTCCCGAATGGCATCGTTAAGATTCCTCGTGTCTCCTAGAGTAGGTCCTAATGGGCGCAAGGATGTAGGTGCGAATGTGGCAGCGAGCGCCTTTGCAGATCGACCTCCGGGAAGCGATTGAATGTTTTCCTTGTGCGTTTCGATGATGTCGAAGTTAATTAGGTCCTCCATTGTCGATGTTTGGTAGCCTTGGATACACAAAGTATCAAATGCGAAAGCTGGGGTTGCATGTCTTAGCCGCTTGTGTTGACCTTCCAAGTGTTGGCCCAGTAACCCACTTAGCGTCATACCGAAGCTCCCTCATAAGTAAGTCCTGCCAATGGTGAATAATTCTTGCTAATGTGAGGGTGCCAAATCCTCTGCCAAACCCTCTATAATTATTACAGTAGTTATGAGACGGGTGTTACAATTACACGGTAACAAAATGCATAACAAGAATTTTGAATGTCTGACGAAACATGAGGGTAAAGTCATCATGGTATTTCGGATGTATATTCTTCTACGCTATGGAGTGGTACATTTCGAATCGTACTATCCGTATTTGCACATGCTGCGTAGTTCTCTCTCCCATAAACCCTCCGAGCTTCCTCGTCCACCTCTCATTACAGTTCTCGATTCATTCAAAATCCCCTATGTCTCCCTAAGAGTTGTTGATCAACGGCTTGCTAGAAACAGTTCGCTCAGATGTGTTGTTAATTCCGTATGGTACCATGTGAGGATATGATGCCAAGTTTCATGAGCTCCCAAGCCATCATGTGAAGTGTTGAACGCAAACTTTCTTGACCTGATCATCAACACCTCACTCACATTCAACATCAGACAGAATTCTCACCGTTCTAGACAACATATTCCTCGAATATACGCCTCGGGTTCATTACAACATTTGATAACCTTACACTGTTGTGGTCAAAAGATTTGAAATCATTGCAGGTTGCAATCCAAATCCACTGTCAACTAGCACCTCATTCAACCCGCCTAACCTATCCAGCATGCCAGAATCAACACCAACCGCCGCCGTCTACGAAGGCATCAAGACCGCAGAAGGTCTCGAACGGTAAGTGATGTTCTCACTCAGCCATCACGACGAACGTTAGCCCCCCATCTGACCTTCAAACAGCCTTGCATCTGAGCCCATCGCAGTGGTCGTTGGCACCGAGGGCGTTACCAAAACATGGCACTTGCCCAAACAGCTCCTTGTCAAGGCTTCACCTTTCTTTGCCGCTGCTTTGAACGGACCCTTTGCAGAAGCAACGTCCAAATTAGTCAATCTTCCAGAAGATAACACTGAGGCCTTCGCATTGTTCATCCGATGGTTGTTTGTTGGCGATATCAGCGGCAAGTCGTTCCACTCTGGATACAAAGCCTCTGGATACAAAGCCTCTGGGAAGGACCACTCTGGATACAAAGCCTCTGGATACAAAGCCTCTGGGGACGAGGTGTTGGGAACTTGGGGCGATACAAGCAACAGCAGTGCTTTCTTTCCCAGCATGCAGGTCTGTCTGCAAGCATGTATCCTTGGGGACAAGCTGGGCTGTCCAATGTTCCATGATCTTGCCATGCTCGAGCTCATCGAGAGTCACGAAAGTAGAGGGATCAGATCCAAGACCATGCAATTTGCTTTTGAAATGTCGGCCCCGGGGTCTAAGCTTCGTCGATTCTCGATCGATCAACTCCGCTGGAACATTGAATGCGAGACGGTTTCCGAGGATGCAGCTGCTTATGTCTCTGCTGCCAAGATCGCCGAGGACTTTGCACTGGATTTCTTGAAGGCGTGCATAGAAGGGAACTGCCGCAACCCCCTTAATCCCATAGGGCACAGAGGACGATACATGGAAGTCTTGACATTCACGGAGGAAGGCTAATTCAGGAACACCGAGCTTCATTTCCTAGCTGAAGTGCACCAATTAAGCCAGTCCGTGAAGAATGACGTCTTCACCTTGCAGCTCGAGTCGAACAGAGCACGCTCTTGCGTGGCGCCATAGACCTTCACCACCTTCCGCAGGCATTCCCTATCATGAGCGACTAGAACTCTCACAAGAAGCAGGCTTGCCTGACTGCACGCACTAGCATGAGCGTTCGAGCCCTCTTTCATAGCTTCAACGTGAACCGCTTCAAGCAGATCAAATACAGACTCTCTGTCCTCGATGTGTGGCATCCCGTCCCCTTTGCAAAGCCGAGCATATTCCCTCATGACATCGCACGCCTTTCGAGATACCAACGGACTTGTTGTCGTTCGGACCAGCGCGAGGATCGGTAGAGAAAGACTTAAAGCTAGGCCATTGCCGTGCTCTTGCTTCACGTAAATCTCCAGGAGATCCAACACTCGGCATTTGAAATTGACTATGTTCTCTTTGGCGTCTTTCTTCTCAGTCTTCTTGCTCGTGACCTTCTTTCGCTCTCGAAAGATATTCTCCAGAGACCCGTTCAGCTCGAACATTTGCTCGTCCGTCATCCCTTCATCCGAGGAGGAACTGTCTTCTGCGTCTACGTCTTCGTTGCCAGGCCGAGTACCCACAATCTGTGCAAGTTTTGCGTTCAGTTCTGCCAATCCATCATCTTCATCCGAGTCCGCCGCATCTGTGTCGCTCGATCCTTCATCGGACTCTTCCTCTGCGGAAGAGCTTCCTAACCCGGTCTTGGCCAAATCGACTTCCTCCACGTCAGACGCCGAGCCCGCCTGTCCTTCCTCATCTTCTTGGTCGAACATTTGTGACTGGCCTGACAGGCTCTCCTTTGTTTCCAAAATCTGCGGTACTTAGTGCTGGTTCTCAAAGGGAACGCCTTTTCTTACCTCGATCATGGATTGCAAAGCAGTATCGTCAAGCTCGGATGCGCAAGCTGTGAAGACCTGCTGAGCCAGGCGTCGAAATAGCTGCGACGGTTTTGCTATGAAGCTCAAAAGTATCTCTATCAAGGTCGCAGAGTCCTGAGGACGCCTCTTCTTTTGAAGTAAAGGCTTGAAGCTGTGGTTGAGCTCGACCAAAATACCAACGGCGTCAGCTTCCTCATTATGCACCTGTAGGATAGTTAAGGAGTACAAGAGCTCAAGAGCACGAAAGAATCGCGCTTCTTCATCTGGATCACAACTAGACTGAGCATGAACCTTTCTCAGTGTCTGCCACGCCTTCCTGAGTACGTTACGCACATTTTCATCGGCGTTCAAGACAACGTGGGGATGGTTCGCATTCTCTTCTCGGCCATGAATATTGCATACAAGCTCATAGGCAAAATAGGACGGCTCCCTTATTGGCTTAGCGACCAGGCTCGATAAACATGACGAGATACGCGTTCTGAACATCTCTCGTGACGCCTGGGAGATTTTCGGACCTGTACTGTCGCCTTGGTCGTTCGGAGCATTGTCAACCTCGAAGTAAGCGCACTTTGCTAAAAGAGCCAAGATTCTGCGGATATTAACGAGAAATTCGCTTTTCGCGAGAACTTGTTCGGTAGAATGGTGTTGTATAGTCCGGACAGCCGAGACAAGCTGGTCTGCTGCAGACTGTCGTCTTGAGGCTGCGGTCTTCTCATCGTCTACTCCGGGTCGCAAGATCAAGTCTTCGTATATCCCGACCACTTGCTCAAAAGACGGGTCATCCACCAGAGAGATTAGAGTTTCCACTGTCTTGGTCTTTGTAATTTTATCGAAATTGATGTCTCCGTTTACAGGATCCAGAAGAGCTTTTAGCATTGGTGCCCTGGTATTTGGATTCGATCGAGCTCTGGCAAGAATTGTCTTGATGGATCTCTCGGCAGCGCGGTGGAGGTAACGCTCTGGGGAGGCAAGCTGGTTGGTGAGACATCGCATCAGGTTTTGTGTGAAAATGTCAGAAAGTACTTTTACGGGTACGTTAGGAACAATTCGCTGAAAGAGCAAGAAACCCCAATATTTTCGTTCCTCTGAGGACGAGGTAGCAAATAGTGCTTCTGGTCTCCTTAGCATAGGATCGTCTTGCTCCCAAGATTACTTACTATCAATACACTCCTCCCAAAACTCCGCAAATCTCATCCGTTTAGCGGGTTTTGCACTCTTCTGCAGGCCTTGTGGGTGAAAATCCAGCAACTCAGCCAGTACTACGTCCCACGCAAATTGAAGCTTGGTAGCCCAAGCACCATTTGTAGTAGTCTCTGACTCAAGGACACTCTGTGGCGAAGTAGTTGCGGAGGCTTCCATCAGTATCTTGGCTAATCTGGAAATGTCTTTCCGATTCAAGGGGTCCTCGTGATGCCACACGCCGCGCGGTAAAGCAATCGAAGGGAACTCTGCCTGGATCCCAATCCATATTGCTACTCCCTGGGGTGTCTTGGAAAGCCCTTTGGCTAGCAACTTGTCAATTATCAATTGAGCGTACTCCAAGTCTTTGCCCTTCAATATTTGAATGGAATTGAACAAGATGAAGCCACATTCTTCCCTTAGCCAGGGCTTCCTCTTTGCCAATTCATAGACGATGTCTAAGATGTTAGACCAAGCCTCAACTCCCATGCTCGGCTGAAACAGAATTCCCGATTTGATAATAGATTCTGCGCCAAAGAGTCGTCCAAACTGGTGATCTCGCTCTTCCTGTACACATGACGTTCAACAAGCCGACAGTAATGGGCTTATCTGGGAATCACGTACCTGGCCAGATACATTGCTGGATACTTGACTCTGATTCTTCAGAGTCTCAATCAACTCTAGGACATTTTGAAACCCAGCAACGCTCCTTCCACTTGGGCCTAAAAGTTCAATTAAGAGCTCAGTAAGGACAACCGAGAAGCCCAATCGAGCAGCTTTTCGCCCACTGCACAGGCCTCTGAGCAGCCTCCTCACAATCTCGTTGAGCTGCTCGCCCGTAGATTTGCCATCCGCTACAAAATTCGTGAGCAAAGCTTGGGCTGCTTTCAGTCGAATGTTTTCATCCACATTAGCTAGATCCTCGTAAATCTCCACCAATTGTGTATTGATAGCAGGCTGCTCTCTGCCCCTCTTCTTCGACATAATGGTGTGAGCTGGTGCTGTAAATGTCGAATATTCACGGTGCAAAAAGTCTCAATTTTGATGATTGGCTGAAATTTTCCTGACATTGCTGACTAAGCGAAGACAGCCAAAAAAAAGCCGGTAGATGAGTAAAGCCTCTCATTTATGCGTCAGTTTTTGGTAGTAACATGGAATCAATTGTCAACCATGACTGAGACTGGCCCAGTAAGAGCGTTTAAACAGCTCAAAAATTTACTCATTGGTGCTGCTCTGGTCGCAGTTTCGAGAGACAGTACTGGATCAACTGCCATTTCTCACCTCCCTCGCCTGCATTTCGCCTGCCATTGCCGATGTGACTTGCTTTCAACATCACAATGAAGCATATGCTTTCAACGGACATGGATAAGTTTCGGAGTGGTCAGTCGTACACTGACGCCTTGTTCGAACAAATTCAAAACGCACCTGCGGGTTTGTTAGAAGTACGAGACAATGTGCCCTGCGACCACAATTAAAGCTGCTGAAGATAAGACCCCTTAGCAGGTGGCATCGTCCGTTTCATCTATTGCAGTTCCCATGTCGGTCCATTGAAACATCGAGGCAGCTCAAAAGCCATGTCTTAGATGCATACTTGGAAGATGCCGTCAGCCGCTCTGTTTCAGCCGTTTGCAAGCCGTGTTTTGCCCTTTCTCCATGATTTGGAAACACGGAGGATAGACGAATCAAAAAACATCCTCAGAAACCCTCCATTCGTGCCCAGTCATTTCTGCATCTTCTGAAGATGAGAGACGGGTCTGGAATGATCAGAGTAGAAATCTAGGCCGGCGGCCAGGAGTCTATGAGTCTTACGTCTCATCTTGTTGTTGTTGCTCAGCTTCTGGGCAGTCGTTTTCTGGCTATATGAGATGGAAGTATTGCCCTAACATCTCTCAACATTCTGTATCCAAGATTAAGTTTCTACTGCGTTGATCGCTGTCTAAACTCCAATTTTTTCGTTCCTCCCTCACGTTACCCAGACTCATTCATCACATCCCTACGAACACCATGCATTGCATCATCACTTCATCGAGTTCGAGCCGAGCAGCAGTCATGTTCATGACTATCTTGGCACTCTTTACATCGGTCTGTATCCGCGTAACTGCTGCTGGCAGCATTGCAATCCTTCCTAGCCCGTAGGTGTCCTCGCCCATCACATGCAATGGCTGCTAATCCGTTGAATGCAGAACCTGTTTTCTATCCCGCAACTACACTGTCGCCGCTGGCGAAACATGTCAGACGATAGCCCAAAACCTATCCGTGTCAACAAACGGCATCATAGCTCTCAACTGCCTGAACCCGCAGTGCACAAACCTCAGAGCCAACAGTACAATGTGAGCCAAGAACAGAAATGGTTGGATATGGAAGCTGACTATTTCCGAGATCTCTCCCAGGATGTTGCACTACCTATACTGTCCAGCAGAATGATACCTGCACTTCGATTGCCTCCCCAGCTCGCAACCTGAGCCTAACGAACTTTTACACATTCAACCCGGCGCTCAACAGCAACTGCTCGAACCTCCTCTTCGGTTCCAATGTCTGCCTCTCTCAACCAAATGGTACTCCACTCAGTCTGCCGTCTTGTTCAGCCCAGAACAGTGCCTCCAGCACAAGTGCAGGCACATCTGCACCGTCCGTCGCCTCCGGCACGAATAATACCTGCCTTCCACTGTATACCGCGGAAACTGGCGACACTTGCGACAGTATTGCACGGGTGTACCACTTTACCCCCCAGTATTTCCAACAAATCAACCCATCCATTAATGGTGCTTGTACCAATATCATTGCCGGGCTGGAATACTGCGTCTCCCAGCCCTAAACCGAGTTCAACCAGTAAGGCCTCTTCATCATTGTACGGCGAGCTACAAAGGCAAAGACAAGGACCTTGCGGGATACAGCGATGTAGGGTACTTCAACTTTAGCATTAGATCTGTCTAATCGAGTTTAATATCTCAATCATGGGGTTCTTGGCCCTAAAACCTCCCTGCATCAAGAGTCCTTCGTGATCATGATGCTCCTCCTCGTTCAAATTATGAGGCCACTTTCCAAGTTCTTTGTTGTACTCGATGTTGTCAACATATAGTCATGTTAAAATCTTCGTATGCAAGCCGTTTATTGTCTTCCGGCATGAAGGTATCCTCCGACACAACTTTGCCGAACTCCCATCACACCCTCCCACGACCAGCTAGTGATGATGGGCTTTCATTTCGAAAGAGACAATTCCGTTCAGAGATGAGCCTCCGATCAAGGTCAAGCTCCAAGACCAGCACCTTTTTGCGGCGCCGCGAAGGCACTGGCCCCTTCGAGAGAGCCTCTGCTTCAGCGTCCCCACCGGTGGGGTCCGGAAGCGACTAGAATCCGCAAGTCTCGGACAGATTCTTGAACAAAGAAATGCAAGACACAGTACCAACGGTGTTGCCAACATAAGAACACTGCTTCCCCTCTTTCGTTTTTGCTTTCCTCAGGGCTCGCAAAGCCTGTCAAATACAGTCTGCTCTACCTTACTCCAGGTGCTCAGCTCGGAAACTTACCATGGCACCCCCGGTCCCGATGTATCATTTCGGTAATCCATCTTCCTTCCCGCGCCCTTTCGTCAACCTAGCTCAGCAGTCTCACCCCCTTCCACAGCCCCAAGCTGCCGTTGTTGTCCCAACTCCCAGATCAACCAACGTTGATGATGTTCGCAGTCAAGATGGTCTCCAATTGTTGGTCATTCTTTGAAACCCCCCAGCATCAAAAGTATCCCCGCCTCTGTAATATACTGATGAGGATCAGGCTGAGAAATCCTACCTCCGTCCTCGTCACTGTGGGCAATACCAAGGCCGCGACCACCTGGAGCATCCCAAAGAATCTGCTCACGCACCATTCGGCCTTCTTCAACACCATCGTCCAGGACAACAAAGTCGCCCTTCCCGAGGACGATCCAGATACCTTTGAGCTTCTCGTTCAGTGGCTGTATGCGGGTGGACTCAACACCGTCGCCACAAGATCCGAGCCGTATGTCAAAGCCTGGATCCTGGGGGACAAACTGAAATGCCTCACCTTCCGGGACCACGCAATGCTTCAGATACTCCATTGCCACAAGCGAGGCGACTTTCCCGAACAGCCAATAAGCCCAGAAAGCGTGCGACTCGCCTTCGGCCAGACACAACCGGAATCGAAGCTGCATCTGTGAGCGCTGGATCAGTACAAGTTCAACTCTGTCAGGGGAACTATGTCAGGTCGGAGCGAGGTATGGGTCCCTGTGCTTGAAGAGATGCCAGATCTCGAGAAGGAAACGGCACGTGCATTGATGAGATCCGGTGAGCGGGGTATCCAGAATCCGTATACGCAGGGCCAGAAGTACTTGGAAGTCTTGAAGCACGCAGACTTTTGCGATCCTCTTTAGGATCATCGGGCCAAAGAGTCCAGGTCGTTTAGTGTGTAATGCTACTTCCATAATGATAGATGCTCTGACTAGAACATGAAGCAAATCTGGTTCGCCGGAGAGATACAATGCAGTACCTGATGATATCGAGTTCTTAATGACTGAATTTTACGGCTCATGGGCCGTCTATGTTTAACTCAGCCAGCGCACTGTATTGCGCCCTCATTCACTTCTTGTACCAGTAGTCATTTAAGCAACAGGTTAAGCGAGCCTTCAACGACGCTGTGCCACAGGATTTTCCTAACTTCATGGGTGCAAGTTGTAACGGTAAAGCGCTAAGATATCTCGCTTACCTTACTTTACCTTAGCCAACTACTTTAACTTAGCTTGCCGTGCACGTGATATCGGGACTCGGGTTCTCTTTAGCGTGTTTTGTGTGTTTACCAACCGGTCGCGACAGCAAATCAGAAGGTCAATCGACGTCACAGCGCCTCTGTCAAGGCCGCGAATGTTGCCGAAACCTGCTCTACATGATGCTTTCAAGTTCCATGCTTTGACTTCGCGGTCTTTGATGCAAAAAAGCTTGCTCAGACAAGTAATTGTCATGTTTCCAGGCGTTCTTTGGCTCCGTTCTGGAGATCCGTGTGACCGGAGTTCCAAAGCAAGCGCTGGCTGATCAACGAATCAAAATGTGGGTCAATCAGAGCGGCGCGTATGGTCTCCCAGCAACAAGTATGTGAAGCCCGGGAGGCTTTCAAGCAATTGGCCCGAGATGGGCTCGACTTTTCCAATTCTAGATTGACGGGATTGACGGGACGATTGCGTCACAATAATGACGAGAGATAAGGTCGGGCCGTGGCTTGGCTGGCGTGGTTCAGCCTTGTCTGAGTGTCTCGAGTATTGACCAAAAGATTTCTTCCTGTTACACTACTTACTACTTACATGCACGGTATCTCTCAGACTTCCCATCATCCAACGGATTGTTTGCTTGTCCTTGAGCTTGAGCTCGAGCTTGATAAATCCTATCTACTCCAAGCCTCAAGGCTCCTTTGGCACCTTCTATCTCTCTGCGCCTCTCAGCTAGATATGCTTGGCGGGAGGCCTAAATAACTCAATAAGCGATGGTTGGCCCTATCAGCTATGGAAAAGCGAATTGGGCATGTTTCCATACGGGTTGCTAGGGTTGGTGACCGGTAGCATCCTGGCTTTTGCTGCAACCTGAGCCAACCCGGCCCATTGGCCTATGAGTATGCAGCATCGTCATCCTGAAAAGGATAAGCTGCAAAATCAGATCGAGATCCTTGCTTTTGAGTCTTTAGCCCACCAGGGAGTGGGTGCTTTTTTCCACTTGCAGCGCGTCCACAATGCCAGATGTACAGCGCTTTGCAATTCCTTTCCAAGTCCAGCGCTTCGCCAAATAGATGTAGAATATCCAGAGCTTTCAATTGGCCATCAGCTGATTGAAAAATATCCTAAATGAACTGGTGATCCTTCGTGTAGAAGTTCGAACCAGGATTTGGTCGAAGCTGAGAACCCCTCCTTTGAAGCCAGCGCTAGTCAGCTCTGCAACCGCCCGAAGTATCCCAGCGTTGTCAGGTAAACCATCCACTGGGCCACCAGCTTCTCAGCCCGCTTCCTCTTTACCAAGGAGTGACACCTCTTTCACTACCTTCTCACTTCTCTCCACGACATCTCCTACTCTGAACGGGGCCGTTCCTCCCCCGAGTCTCGTCCTGTGGAAGTCACTTCGTTCCTTGGGAGGTCATACCCAACGACGGAGGGACTTGGAGGAGCAGCTGCCCGCAGTTTACATCGAGCAACACCATTGCATTTTCTATCCATCTTACCATCATGCCTTAGGTAGAGCAGCTTAATCCACAGATTGATTCTTCATTGGGAATCTCTATCCCCAGGAACGCCCAGCACTCGCCGTCTTCGACGCACCACGACCTCAGCCATTCACCTTGGAGGAAGACCCTCAGTACCTTGACCCCAACGCCAATTGCTCGAACAAATTCAGCTGAAGTCACAGCGGGCACACACGACCGAGAACATGGAACACTCTTCTCCACTGGCTGCTATGCAGCCACCTTCCCTCCCATTCGGACACTGGGGTTGTCGAGGAGGAACAGAGACTTCCTACAACCAGCATCGAGGGCAATATGGAGGGCAAATGAATTTTGGGCCGTCAAGCTTCAACTTCAAAGATCTCAGCATGGCAAAGGCACCTACGGACTACTTCAATCTCAAGCCTGTACGAGGATCGTCTCCAACAGCAAGTCTTGCTGCTGACCTGTCTCAAAACTTTCACATCGACCAAAGGTGCTACAGCCTCTTGCTGCTGTTCTCCTACACTGCTGACAACTGTAGTCCGCAATTGCCAACTCCACGTCGATCACTGTTCTCCTCGAACCTATTTGGGACACTCAATGGTCGAGGTAAGATGTGCATGCTCGACTAGTAAGGCTTCAGCTAACATGGTACAGAACGCGCGAGCACGCCGCCGCTCCCCTCCTCTTCGCCCGGCCCAGGGACTGACTCGATGGAGATATCACCGCTGCCCCATAAGGCCCCCTTCGTTGTCTCAACCCATGTTGAGCCTACACCACTGACATCCCCAACGGAGGAGGTGACATCGTCTTTGCTTGATGATGTTATGCAAGACTCCCCAACGGAAGCACCGAAACAGCCAGCACCTTCAGAGTGAGTAATTCTTGAGTTTTGGGGAAACGAGCTGTACCGATCTGACATTTACGTTAGGCGTAGAAGATCCTCCTTGATGAGACCTTCGTTGTCCCGCACTAAAGGCCTTACGACGACATCTGTTTCCTTGAAGTCTGCTCGAACAGAATGCCCGCCATTCAGATTTAGCAACGGTCCCTCCGTGCCTTCCTTGTCTTTGATGTCCACCGAGGAGTGCTTTGCATCTTCCACTCAAGGAGATGCCCGACCACATTCCGCACATTCACCAGCACCCTTGCCGATGGGGCCTCCAAGATTCAAACAACCTTCGTCCGGTCTCGGTGGGCACCTACGAAGTATTGGATCACCTATCGTTGGTCACGTCCGCAAATCGTCGAACCCTCTGCAACGTCCCCGGAAGCAGTTTCGTCGCTCTCTCAGTATGTTCGAACACCCAGGAGATGTGATGAAGCAAGAGAAGGCTGCTTTCTCAGCGACATGCCTCGATTCTATAATGGACATTGATGATCCCCCAAGGTTACGACTGCCACACTTCAACTCGGACGAAGAGAGCCTACCTCGCATCACCAAGGATACCATGGTCGACGTCCTCGATGGCAAATACGGCCAATGTTATGACCGGTCTATCATCATTGATTGTCGATTCGAGTACGAGTATGAAGGAGGCCACATCGAGGGCGCCATGAATTTCAATGATAAAGAGCGATTAGCGACGCAGCTTTTTGAATCACCACCCCCGAACAACACGCTACTGATATTCCATTGCGAGTACTCAGCCCATCGCGCTCCTATCATGTGCGTATGCCAAGTTATTGAACGTAAATAATGCTGACCTAATTCAGGGCAAAATTTCTACGTCACAAGGACCGGGCTTGCAATGCCCACCAATATCCAAAGCTTACCTTTCCAGAAGTGTACATTCTAGACGGGGGTTACAGTTCCTTCTACACGGATCACAAACCCCGATGCTATCCCCAAAACTATGTCGAGATGGGTGCGCAGGAACACGCTAACGCCTGCGAACGTGGCCTCGGACGTATCAAGCAACAACGTGCGAAACTGAGCAGAGCACAAACCTTTGCATTTGGTCAGCATGGACAGCAGGTAGACGACAGTCCTACCGCTTCCAATCGGCAATCTAGCTCTCTCATGACAGGAATGGACATGGCAGCCGATGCTGAGATGATTTCGCGGCGAATGCAATCAAGACGTATGGTGTCTTTTTGATTTCCGTATCGCCACATCTGTTTCAGCATCACCGTTGCCTCTTCATCATTCCTGGTACCCTCCCCTCGCTATCCGATCTCTGTCACTGCTGCATCCATTGGCGTCTGGCATGCTTTGAAATGTGGGCCGGTGAACCCATCTCAGGTAAATGGAGCGACTTATATTCCAATGGTCGTCGACTTTTGTGTCAAGGGGGTATTTGCATGTCATCTTGCCACGGTGGCTCCGCCTACCCAGATCTTTTCTACCGCCTTATCAGCACCCGCCTGGGCCCGATACACATCCTGTTACTTCATTGCGAAGTTCGATCGCGGGTATTGTTACCCTGCATGCGACAGCCCGTCTACAATCTCTGTCATGTCGAATCCGCTCTTACCGTCCTCATTGTCCGCGACTGCGAACGCACAAAAATCCTATGCCTTTCATCGAACCTTTTCATCTCTGCCTTGACTTCTTGAGCCCAGTGCTCTAGACATTTCCGAACTCAGCCTCTTTCACGAACACACCGGGAATAGGTCTTGACTTTGACCTGTCGAAAGAAGCTGTTCTACTTCTTACTCCTGTGCTCCAACTCCGTCGTGGCGGCACCTTAGTCACAATCCACCTCAACCGAGAAAGTCAACACTGAACATCACGGCTTCCTTTTCCCTTGAGAAAACCAGAAGCTTTGAGGGCTCTCTTCATCCTCGAAGAAGTAAGAGTGCACAGCTCGGCGAGCATAGCGAGAGCATAGCGAGAGCATATGTTGCTGAGCCCTCGTTGGATTCCAGCATGCAGAATGAATGCGCTTGTCTTTCTACCTTGTCTAAATACCCCTGACCATCAATGAAACATTATATCATTACCTTGACGCGCCTTGATGTGAGCCTCGTGAGTGACTGAAAACTGTAATTGTATGCGCTATTTCTGCGTAGAAAGGTAGAATTATTACCTTCGCTGTTTCTGTAGCTTCGATTCTTAAAGTGGCTACTCAATAGAGTGTGCGTTAGGGCATTGGAGGCATGGTCTACTATGAATCTCCTTTTCTACCAGGGCACCACTGCCTCCCCTTCAACGAGCTTGACAGCGTGCGGTCTTGAAGGTTTCGATCCAACAGCTTAATCAATAATGGGAGAACAGCAGATACAATGGATATTGACGACATTTTGGCGGAGGTAGACAGCCATGCAGTTCCCCGCGAGACTCGAGATCTACAAGAACTCACCCGAGCATGGGTTACGGAACGCAGTGCCCCAGAAATATTGCCATGGCCGGATATTTTGATGGAGCGTATTCTGGAGAGGTTACGTAGGCAGGCATGTCGCCCTCTCCTTGACTGCAAGCGCATTGGCTGATAAAAAGTTTGTCTATAAGATTGAGCTCGTGGAAGAGCAAACGGGAAACACAGACCCCAAAGCCAACTTTCGCCTCATAATCATCCAGACCGAACTCGAGCGCTTCAAGTTCCTCGTCCGCTCATTCCTGCGCGCTCGCATTGCGAAAATCGACGCTCATGCCCTCCATCACCTCACGGACCCCTCTACCAAAGCCCGCCTCTCCCCCAGCGAGCTCCAATATGCTACAGCTCATACCTCCCTACTCCACGCTCACTATCATTCGTCTTTCCTCTCGCAGTTCCCTACATCTCTGCAGAGAATGGATGATACGGCAGGGGGGATCAGTATGGTAGAGGGACCGGATGTGGATAAAGCTGTGTTTGTGAGGGCGTTGAAGGATGTGGAAGAGCCGGTGTATGTGGAGGGGACGGATACGGCATTTGACATGCGGAGGGGGGATGTGGTCGTTGTGAGGTGGAGTGCTGTTAGGGAGGTTGTGATGGCGGGGGATGCGGAGTTGATATGATTTGAATATATGAAATAGTGCTGTTTATGTTCCAGGACAGTGCTGGCGGAGATGTGACGAAGTGGGGGTGGTTGGAAGTTTCAATGGACAGAATCAGTACGAGAGTTCTCATTGATGGAGAATATGACCGTTAGTTGCTAAGCTGATTGGAGCCTCTAGGCATCACCCTCCGTCCCAACAAACCCAGAGATCTATCGCACCACGAAGTCCTTGCACTTCCAAGCCTCCACTTCGTGGTCCGCAGAGACCAAATCATGGTCTCCAACTCCAAGCCATCGCTCTATCTCTTCCTGCCTTCGTACAGTGCAAGCCAGAGATTTCCCGGTACCGCCATAGCCTCGCGCTTTAAAGCTTTCAGACCTCCACGCATCCAGATCGCGGACACCATGCCGCAGGTAATTATCCAAATGACCATAATCACGCAAAGACCGAAGTCCTCCCGCGTAAATTCCTTGAACCCGCCCCTCTCGATTGACTTGCTGAAGCACAGTAGAAAGCTAAGTGTCGCACTGATAAGGAAATGGGCGGTCATGGCTTTGCGGTCCTCCGTCCGATCTGTCAAGATCAAGAGGATCAAGCTGATGATAGAGCTGAGATACGCCACTGTCAAGGCGAGCGCAAGGGCGATCACCAGAAATTCGGGTACGGACTCGCCAACGCCGAGGGTAAAGTTGGTCGTGATTGAAAGGGTGGTGGTGACGAGCTCCACGAAAACTATTGAGCGGAGGGGCGATATGTCTGATGTTCCTGATGATGGGCTAGCTGGTATGGCCATGCTTGCGTTGCAATCGGAGCAAGGGAAGGGAGGTGCTCCTGATGTCGATGCTGCTGCGGTTCTGTGTTCTGGTGCGGTGCCGATAGAATAGGCCGTGCCTGGGAATGTGTCCTTGCTATATACCTTTCATGTCAAGGACTATTGGAAGTTGTTGAGTTTCAGAAGCTGCTGCTTGCCGAAAACACGGCTTTGAAATGCCCAATAGCAAACGCGATGGGGAAACCAGGTTCCAGAAGTCTTTCTTCATCCAGAAGGGACATTGCCCAAAAGAGTCCTGATTTGAGACAAAATCCGTGGGCGGTAACAAACTTTTAACTCTACAACGGCTCTGTGGAGGAATATGACAGTGGCTAGAATCTCCGGAGAAACCGATCAGTTGCTTCCCAGCAGGAGCGAAGCTGAAAGGCATCGCTCATGGCAGTCACATTTAACGGGCATATCTGTGGAAGTATTGAGAATGTGAGTGCATTTCAGATAAATTGCATGTCTAAATGCGACGCCTTGGGCTAAGACAACAGGTCATGATATTGAACTGATCTTGCCACAAAAGGTTCACCTATCCTAGTACCGCTGCCCACCATATCGATAGCCTTTCCCAACCCAAAGCACGATCCCAGGTGATAGATTTCAGATTGCGTCAATTGCCATGAGTCCAAGTGAATCCTTCGTTCTTCTGTCTAAAGCACGAACCCTGCTTCTGAAGATCGGTCCATGCCCCCCCCGCCGGGAGATGTGATGAGCCCATTGGGTCTAACTTGTACCCTCTCGGAGGCGTGCTGTTCGTTCTTACTCAGCACACTCGAGGCCAGACACAGTGCTTCAAAATGCAGATTTGGGAACACTATCGCACATCTCGTGCAGCATTATACCAAACATGGCTGTTAAGGGAGTCGTAGAGACAGGTTTCGAGAAAACGGCCTTCGCCGCTCGGCCAGATGCATGCGCGTTCAGGCTCTGGAGAGGTTGTCAGGCCAAGGAGATCTTTTCCGATGCCACTCTCCAGCGTGGCCCAGTCGTGGCTGTCTATCCGACAACCGCGAACGTTTTCTCGAAGCACGAAACCGGAGAACACGATATCGAGATCAAAGAAGCATTGGATGATCAGATCCGCACCCCACGGGTATTCTCTCGCATTCGTCCAAAGCCGACGTGAGACGTCTGATGGCATCTCGTTCGTCGGGTGAAGGCGATCTCCTTGGGTCGTTGTGCGGGATGAGCTCACCGTCTGCGCGGCTGGCACTCACAGAAAGACGTTCGTTCGTTGCGGCGAGAAGACTCGCCCTGCGGCGTCGATATCCCGCTGGCTGCGTGGGTACGGCGTTCCTCGCCTGGATGAAGATCATGGAATGCCAATTCCCTGTAGGATATCTGAAGCTGTATCTTGAGTGCAAAAGCTGAGCCGGCTTTGCACTCAGTCCGTGCTCGACAAGCCCTGTAGGGGATGTCGCAGAGGGGCAGTAATTGGTTTGGGAGGTCTCGAGGACTGTTTCCTTGGATCCTGGATGTGATGAGGGTGGTGTTGTGCCATAATATTCGTGGCTGATGATGCCAATCCACTACGCTCTTTATTGACATGGTTTGGGTAGGGCGAAGTTCGGGACTTCAAGAGCGGATGAGAAGACAATGGTCTATAGTTTTGGGATACTGCATGCTACAATGTACGTGGCCCTATTCTTGTGCACATTTTGCTCCTGATGAAACAAAACATGAACCTTTTCGGCATCAATCCGCCATCTGACGCCTCGAAGCGTCAACGAATCCACATCACCAATAAGAGTACAACGCAGATGAGACTGCGACTGACCAAATGCCAGTTTATGAAGGCCTCCAGCCCGGTCACCTCGTCAGGTCCGCCAATCGCAGCCCCCCCGTAAGCCCAGATAAGAAGACTGAAGATCCAACTCTGGAAATAATGATGGGTCAGACGCCGGCAGTAATGTTCACCCCCGGACCAACGAAGGAAGGCAATAGGAGTCAGAAACCCAGTAACCATGCCGACGGCTATCCATATCAGACCGGTCTGTCGAAAGTAGCTGATGTCGAGGAGGGTAGTGATGATCAGAATGAAGGATATGCCGTAGTATTCAAAGGATCGTTGAGGTTTCAGTGGGTCGGCTGATCCGAATGGTAGATTGATGTGTTCGTGACACCTAGAGCACAAGACGGAATCGCCGTTGATGCCCAAGTCGGGGACTGAAGTGAGATAGAAACTTAGTCTGGTGACGTGGATCTGGCAAAGAGAGAGCCATGATGCACGCACACTTAATTTCGCCCAGCCTGGTAAGCAAAGCCTGAACTTCCTCTGCCTCCTTGCACATTCCCTCAATTTCTTCCAGGTTCTTTCGTACGGATTCAAGGTCCTTGAAGGCTGTCATGTACATGCCGGTAGCTGAAATGGAGATAGAAGTCAGTCTGCTGATGCGGATTTGCTAATCAAAGAGATGTCATTGCACAAACCCTCATCCATTGTTAAGCCACCTCCCTCTTCGCGATTTTCATGCTCCATCGCTATCCCAGTCTTTTGACTCTTAGCGGTAGGTTGTGTTTGTTTCAAGGAGAACAGCGTCGATTTCTTCCAAAGAAGGTGGAGTGTTGGTGTCCTCGCCTGGTAACGGAAGGACAAAAAAGGTCACGGAGTTTCAGATAGGTACACAATGTCTCAGCGCCCGACAGAGGACCTTGCGGTGGCGCACTAAGCTCCTTGAGGTTTTGCGGCCCATTTCCTTCAAATTTCGTGTGTCCTACTGCAACACTCGCATCTATCGATACCAGGGTATGGCGACCAAAGCTTCGTCGTGGTGAGGCACTGATTTTATTGAAAATTCCTAGAAATGTTTACTCTGAACCCTATGTTGTGTTATATTGCTTATAGTGTTGCGTGTGCGGTACTTGCGACTATCGACGACAAAAGACGCTGTCAATGGCGAACGAAGCGGGATACTCAACTCCATACAACAAATGTGCGCAGTATGTTAGGATTCTCGGATCGAGGGGTTGGTTTGCTGAATGTTGAGCTAATGATACTGGAGCTTGATTGCAGAAAAGAAGAAGTGGACATTGTTTCGTCTTCACGTTCCTATCAAAGACCAAAGGCCCTATTGCCCCTCACCTGACGCCTGCCCCAGATGTCCTGATCGGAGGATGTAAATAGGATGATGCCTTCTTACCCGGCCCAAGAGCCACCTACCGTAGGCGGTTTTTCGACTGATCTAGAACGGACTCTTTTCGCACAAGACAGTCCACAGATGAGTCGGCACAAGGTAGAGCGCTGCATTCTATAGCTAGTGCCGGTGATTCCTCAAACGGCCTCGTTACGTTCTCTTCGGGATTGGGAATTGGAAGTGCTCCTCACTTTGGCGTTGCTCCTGTGGCGTTGGAGGTAGAGGTGTAGCAAAGTAATACATGGAAGGACAGTGACAGTAGGACTGCACTCACGATGTGTTGACCTCGAATAGCTTTTGTTGCCTCCTTCGACATCAAAGCTAAGCACGACTGCAAACCTCTTAATATGCTAAGTCGTAGTTTTCGGTTGAAGGCACACTTTCTGAAGGAAGAGATCTTGACGGAGAAAAGAAAGAAATTGTTTCTGTCAAAACCAAGATCGCAAGGTTTCAGCAACATGCAACGCTGTAGCGCTAAACGCAGAAGAGGATTCGGAGACCGTTTTCTTTGAATATCGTACCGTACCCAGTGAACTCTGCAACACTGACGTCTGCCGACGCCACAAGATCGCACAATTAAAGCCTCTTCATGACATCGTGGTGACGCACTACTCTTTGGGCACCGATCCCTTTGAATTTCGTATGTGTCATATGTGTGTATTTTGTGGATAATGGCTTTGTTTACAGTAGTCGCGGCTACCGATGCCAAGAGACGGCGAGGTCATAGCTTTCGCTGTACTTGAGGGTGACAAGTGACAGGAATGATAAGTAGCATTGATAAGGTTTCGCCTTTGAATGTGGTTTGCTGGGGTCAGTAGATCGGCATAGGGTGAGCAGCAATGGGTGCTGTCACCTTGCAGCTTAGAGCGTCACAAACATGCAAATGCATGCGTAGCTATCTGTTCTATTGGTCGAAATTTAGGAGATGCCCTATGCTCAAAGAAGAAAATGAGCACGCGACCAGCTATTCTTTTCTTTTGAAAACGAAGAAAGTCGACGAATGAAAGATTAAAATGAGGGCGAAGGTGATTCTCTATTCTCTAATACTTTGTCCAACTTGCCTGTCAAAAAGGATCATTTGATGCGTTGAAATCCAGGGGTAATTCCGTGCCAAGCCCTTAGCGGCAGCTCCCATAGCAAGGAACGCGAACAGGTTCACTTTACCCATAACTAAAAAGCTTCACCTTTTTCTCTCACGCAATTTCTAACCCCACTCTTCTCCCACTATTCCTTTGAGCCATTCGTTTCTTCTCCTAATGTATAATTGAACTTTTCCTCTGACAGCTCTTTGTCGACACACAACACATATCAAACGTTGAGCTTCTGCGCTATTCGACCAGGCAAGCAATGGCAGCGCCCACTCCAGAGGGTGGTGCAGGACCGTCTGGTCGTGAAAGCTCTACAGGGACGAATCTTTCGGCTCCTCATCGACCAACAGAAGCATTGGTAAATACTCGATCTACTACGGATGTGCTCGCGGCAGCACAGGGAGACCCAAATGCGACAAGCAAGAGGCGCAATCATCGAGGTGGAAAGAAGAAGAAGAAGAATCGCCGACAGTCATTCTTGCCTGCAGCTGCAGAAGAAGAGGTGGACCCCGCGAGGTCAAGTCAAAATCTACATGAGCCTGCGAGCTCTACAACTCCAAGGCCACCTTTTTACAGGTTAGGTCAGTCCGGTGGGCGTAACTTGAGCGAGACCAGTCTTGACAGCAACGTGCTCTTAGATCATAGGTATCTACACCTACTACACTGTTGATGCTTGATCGGAGATCGAGCTGACAGACTACTGCAGAGATCACCCACCAATGCGCCAACGTAGAGAAAGCCGAGTCAACCCAAGCGCCTTTGGGAGAACGGAATCAATGCAATACAGGCCCAATCATCCCCATCGACGTTCTTCATACGAAGCTCAACATGGGCGGCCAAGACAGATCCGCGCACATGACTCATCAGGCGATGAGAGCGAGGCCAATCCCCCAGTGACAACAGATCGCACTCCTCTATTGACATCAGCCAACGGTGGAGCTTCACCGTCGCACAGGTCCGGCTATGGATTGTCTTCGGCACAAGGGCATGGTGGCCGTCGTGACTCCCAGCAGAGACGTAGTTCTGCAGCAACTTCCAGCTCGAGCAACCACCGAAGAAGAGTACCCAGTCGCCAGGCTTCTCATGATATCAACAACCCGCCCTCCGTCCCCAGCAGCCCTAAGCTCGGACCAGACATGGGCTATGATGATGTTATGGTCACCGGTTCATTCGCGCCTAGATCTCCAGAAGACAGCCGTGGCCACAATCACACCAATGATCAACTAATTGACATAGATGGGGACGGCAACAAGGCGTTTGTCAACTCCTCTCCACCAAAATCGAGGAATGGCTCCTACGAGCAGCGACGCCATACTATTGCCGTACCGGCTGAAGAAGATGTGTGCTTCCCTATAGAAGGCATGTCAACGATAGGAGAGGATGACTACATGAACCAAGACCAGGGCTCGAACGAGCAGCAGGGACAACGGAGAAGAAGAGCTTTCCGGTGGCCAGATTTGTCTGTACTCGACGAATGGAGTCGCGAAGAGAAGGAGGAGCGAAGTGAGGGTATCCGCGCAAAGAAGATCAGCGAGCCGGTTCTTGTTGGTGGCAGGTTAAGGCCGCAAAAACACGGGTGGCATCGCGCAGAAGAAGACGCTCCTTACAGATTCACATACTTCAATGAAGAGTTCCCGAGCACGATACACAGTCAGACTATTTCCGAGCTTTTACAACCTGGTCAAGACTTCAGGGAGCTGTTCATTCCAGATCCACCAGAGTTGAGTGATGAGTCTTCCGATGAAGAAGACGTGACGAGCCATCAAGGCACTTCGAATGGCCGAGACGAAATGAGTCCTAACACCCAATCACGGCTAGGAACAAGGCATTCGTCGATTATCGGAGAAACTAAAATGCAATCTCCAGAGCATTCAGGTGATGCTACTCCTTCACAATCCAACGTACCTTTGCGAGGTGAAAAACCAAAGCGGCATGGCGAAAGACCAACTTTCTGGCTTGACGTGCTTTGCCCCACAGAGACGGAGATGAGGGTCATTGCAAAGACGTTTGGAATTCACCCCCTCACGGCCGAGGATATTTTGGTGCAAGAAGCCCGCGAGAAGGTTGAGCTATTCAGGAATTACTACTTCGTCAATTACCGTACTTTCGAGCAAGACACGAGTAGCGAAGACTACCTCGAGCCAGTCAACATGTATGTGGTTGTCTTCCGTGAGGGCGTCATCAGCTTCCACTTCTCCATGACTCCACATCCTGCAAACGTGCGTCGACGCATTCGCCAATTGAAGGAATACGTAATCATGAGCTCTGATTGGATCTCATACGCCCTTATCGACGACATTACAGACGTTTTCGCGCCACTCATCCAAGCAATTGAGGAAGAAGTTGATGATATCGACGATTCTATCCTGAAGCTGCACTCTGGAAGCAAAGAAGAACAGAACGAAAAGGTTAAAGCATCGAAGAGCGAAGATGGAAAATCAGAATCTGGAGAGCAATCTTCTGGCGGTGACATGCTTAGACGCGTTGGTGAAGGCAGGAAGAAAGTTATGCTGCTGTATCGTCTCTTAGGCAACAAAGCAGATGTCATCAAGGGCTTCGCCAAGAGATGCAATGAGCGTTGGGAAATTGCACCAAGAAGTGACATCGGGCTGTACCTGGGTGACATCCAGGATCACATCCTAACGATGACCAGTAACCTCAGCCATTACGAGACGCTACTTTCTCGAGCCCACTCGAATTACCTCGCTCAGATCAACATTCGTATGAACGAGCGCCAGGAGCAGACTGCTGACGTCTTGGGAAAGCTGACCGTCCTCGGTACAATCGTCTTGCCTATGAATATTGTGACTGGTATGTGGGGAATGAACGTGATGGTACCTGGGCAGGATGCCGACAATTTAGTATGGTTTTGGTCAAGTATGTCAACCTCTGGCAATGCATACATTCGTAATCAGATTGCTAATCACGACCACAGTCACTGCTGGTTTGTTGGTCTTTGGAACCTCATGCTTCTTCATCGCGAAGAGAGTGTACGGTATAGTCTGAACAGAGTACTCAAGGGAAATTGCAATGTGCATGGAGATCTATTCCATATTGGCCTACCCACTGCTGCATAGCGAAGGATGGGTATAGTCGTAGTAGAGTTAAGATGACTCTCCTTAGACACAAAAGTGATGAAATTTTGCCATGTCCATAAAAAAAAAAGAATGTACATAGAAAGTCATTGGATTCAAGAACTGCAAATTACTTTCCACCTTAAAGTGCGCACCTCAACCATCAAAACGGAAACCATGCACCATTCCTGATGAGGCAATCCGTAAACACTCACCCACCCCACCTCCCACCCTAACCCCTTCCCTCACACACCTCTGTTCTTCTACCCACCCCACCCCCCAATCATGGCGCCCCCAACCCCCCTCTCCGTAGCCACAAATTCAATCAACCGCCTCCTCAAGGAAGAGTCGTCCTACCGCACCGAACTCGCGACCCAGCAGCGACGCGTCGAGGAGCTGCAAGCGGGCGGTGCGGACGAAGACGATGCCGGGAACACGGAGTTTCGATTGAGGCAGGAGGTCAGTACTCTTCTGTCTGTCCATTGATGCCGGGGGGGGGGGTTTCAAAAGTGGAAGAAGGGCCAAATCCAAAGGGTTTCAAGTGTGTGCTGTCGTGCTGACGCGTTTGCGGGGAACAGAAACGAGCGGTCGAGGAGACGAAGGCGGTTTTTGGACCGTTGAGGGAGCGGATCGCGGGGGCGGTGGAGAAGTTGGAGGGGGTGTTGGTTGGTTCCTTCCGTTGTCGTTTTTTGCACCGTTTCCGTCTTGATCTGTTCCGTGGGGAGGAGCAATTTGTGTGTTACACTGTTCGCGGACAGAGGCTGATGATTTGGGTTATGTATAGGCGTCCGGTAAGGCTGCTGGAGGAATGGAGGTCGATGCTGCAAATGATGCCCTGGTGCGGGCGAAAGCGACTTCGTGAGGATGGTTTTAGGGGAATGACACACATGATGCATGCAATAGAGCGGTGTCTGGTGGGATGGAATGCTTTAGCAAGGGTATCAAAACTACGAAGTATCCATTTGCTCTGTCCGCTGCGTCTCCGTTTGCTCATCATCCTGTTCACCTTCCTCTTTCCCATCCTCAGCGATTAGGCCTTCAACCGGTGCTGCAACGACATGTTCCGGCTCAGCAGCCAGCTCGCCATCCTCTGCCATTTCTTCATCCTCTACCGCTGGGCCGTCAACCCTTTCCTCCGCCATCTCATCCGCATTCTGCGAGCTCCGTAAAGGCGACTTGCCCCGTCCCGAAGGATCCCTTTCGACTGACAGTCCCCCGGGAGTGCCGACCTCTTGGTCCTGACTCGTCCCATGCATCGGTGTTGTCCCACCAGTCTCATGATGAGGCGTACCAACACCACTGCTCCTCCCCCTCTGATCGTCATCTCCATCCTCTCTCTCCTCCATGCCCTCCCTCCTCTCTACCTCTTCCTTCTCATCTCTGATCAATCGCCTAAGCTGCATGCCCTCCTCGATGATCCTCCCAAACTGCTGCCGCCTCTCCGACCATGTTTGCGCATACTCCTGACTCTCCGTCTCCAGGTCCGCGATTTCTGCGTTCAGCTTGGCGAGATTGGCGTGCTGATCTTCTCTCGGCCGTAGCAGGCGGTTGCTTGTGATTTTTTCAGCCAAGTCATCGTATTCCTTTCGTAACGCGAGCGTTCGTTGTGCATCTTCTAGCTGCACCCGTAAATCGGCGGTGTTATCTCGGACCGCTTGCGCCGTGGCTTGTATCTTCAGCTTCTCAGCAGCATATCGCTCGCGTTCTCTGACGTTGCTCGTCAGGAGGAACTGTATGCGTATGATGCTGCTTTCGAAAGCGGCGAAGTCTAAGAGCGTATCCTCGCGCCATTGGCGGCGCTCGTCGAGTTGCTGTTGATTCTCGATCTCATGCGCCGCTGCTGCTTCGTCTGCGGCTGAGGCATCGGGTGGTGGTGTTGGGGGTAGAGTTGGTGGGGTGGATATGAGGGAAGCGGAGGAGAGGAGACGTTTTGTAATGCGCTTGAAGGGTTTCTCTTCGACGTTGAGGAGGCGGGACTTGTGTAGTGTATCTGAACGTTATGAGATTGGGGGTTGAGCATGTCAACTGGGAAACTCACCTTCTTCAGCTTGATCTAGCAATTCGTAGGAAGACATGGTGCCGATTTTTTTCGACCTGTAAAAGGCTATCCTGGGCGCTGAATCTGCGACACTGAGCCTCTGAGAAGAATGTTTCTTTACTTTGTGAACTTTGGGCAGGTGGACGAATCAGAGATTCAGCTGTCAGGAGCTCGGGAGATACTCGGGATCTCCCGAGGTTAAGTCTAAATTAAGATCCACTCGGCCTATTCATTCTTCTTTCATTCACGCAGTCATGTATAATACATACACAACACTGAATTTGAATAGCCTTCCTATATTTTAAACCAAATCTCCAGTTGTTCTTTTCTCCAGTTACTTCTCGAATTTATCGTCGCAATGCCTCCGTCATCGCTCTTCAGGATGGCCAGCAGGGCGTGCATAAAGAATATACGATGTAAGTCAATTATCGTGATGCATACAGTCTTCTGCTAAAAGGTGATAGCAATTACCGACGTTGGAGATGCGCCCTATCAGATCGTTCGATCTGTTCTTCTCCGGCTTGAGAACCCCCAACAACTCGTAAGCATAATACTCTTCCCGGGCTCCTCTGTCCTATCAAGCTGATTATCACTTTTAGAGAAAGATAGAGTTAGCATCACCCCAAATCTGCGGCCAAGATGGCGAGATCTGGCTGGAATTTATCAAACGCGATGTACCGAACTGGGACAAGAAACCATACGAACCAGAGAACCCTAAGAAGTGGTACAAAGCATACAAAAAGCTCGTCATGGACAGCCAGGAGGAGGTAGAGAACGACGCTGCAGAATTGAAAGCTACCCTGGACCGAATCAAACAAGATCAATCACTGCACAAGGCCCAACAGGTTGAGCTTAGGGGTGTCAAAGTCCCCGAAGGAATGAAGAGCAATGGGCCGGTCATCAGCCTCTCCACGATGCCACGATTCTATGACAAAGGAACCAATCCTCCACCGGGCGAGAGGCAGCGTAAGAAAGACGGAGACGCCAAAATCTTCGTCAGTAACAAAGGTAAGCTGGACCAGTTCCGAAAGGAAGCCAAAGCTATGGGCCATTTCCAGAAACCAGCAGGACGCCCTGGAATCTTCGCCCCTAAAGATATGAAGTTGAAACCTGCGCCAATGAGCAGGACGATAACCGCTGCACCGCGCATACTCATAGAGGAGCATCAGAAAGCTGCAGCCCCAAGCGCATTCGATCCCTCTGCCAAGCCAGCAACAATCTTCGCTCCCAAGAGGAAGCGAGTAGAGCACAACGAGACTTCCCAACCAGGTACCCTGACTTACGAAGAAAGAGAGAAGAGACTCAAAGCGTTTACCAACCCCTCAAGCGTCAGTAAATCCACTCTCAACCAAGAAGCATCGACCCCAATATCACCTCAACCCAAAGCAAAGATCCGCTCATCCACCGCGCCCGATATTGCCATATTGCCTGTACCGAAAGTCCAAGCCACCCCTAGTTTCTCCTCCACACTGAAGCGCAAGGATCGCGCCTCACCGACCCCTGGTCACGGGATACCAAGGGCAAATACCTCCAGCCCCAGCAATGGAGGTATTCGCCCAGCAATGCACATGAAGAAGGCTCCTGTCGACGTGTTCATGCCAGCGAAACGACGGAAAATTACTTGAGCGACTCCCATTCGAATTCTGGGAAATTTTTGCTTTTGAGCGTCGTGCTTGCGGCGCTACAATTTGCATCGATACGACTGGAGCTTTATACATTGGTCGTTTGACACCACCGAATACTATCCGCCTTTTGCTTGAATCGTTGACACATCCCCGTTTTCGTGCGTTGATCGGCTGAACACCATGACACTTTGCTTGATGCCTTTATAAACCCTCCGTGTGCTCCACCTTGCTTCTTCTTTCTACACCCTTCACTCACACTCAACCCCAAACTTCAAAGTCAAACCTCGCTTCCCAAAACTTCCATCATCAAAACAACACCAACCAAGTCGTCACCCAAGTTTCAAACATCCTCACAGTCTCCCTTCACCGGCAAACCATCACTTCGTCAACAGCCCTTCCTTCTTCAACAACATGCCTCGTGGACGCACTGACCAGACTCGCGGCATGACTGAGCGCGAAAATTTCAACCAATCTTATCTCGAGGAGTCTGCTGCTGGTCGTCTTCGTGGCTATGATACCCGTGGATATTGCGATTCTGACCGTGGCGGGCCTCGTATTGCTGGTTCGCGTGACTACTGGCGTTATGCCGGCGTTGCTTCTCGCGGTTATGGAAGCCATCCTGCCACGAGAGAAGAGGATCCCTCAGGCTCCTCTGACTCCTCCGACGTTGATTTTTTGGCGGGAGATTCCGTGGGTCCTCGTTCTGGGGGAACTCGTGGCCATCGTGGCATGGTCAGAGAGGACTACGATTCTTTTGACGAGGATTCTTTGGCTGCAGAATCTGCTAGTCGCCGCCTTGGCGGAACTCTCGGTCACCGTAGGGTTGACGACGATTCTGACTATGATTCATTGGCGGGAGACTCCGCTGGTACTCGTTACGCGGGAACTCGAGGCCAGCGTGGACAAGGGCCTCCCCACTCCCGTGGAACCGGTCCTCGATACGCGGATAGATACGCGGATACTTTGACCGAAGAGTCCGCCGACGATGAACCCGACTGTCATCGCCGCGGCACCCGAGGTGGAGTTGCAGCCTCAGCTCGTTATAGTACACCCTCATCTCGTCGTCGAGAACTTTCACCTTCCCCCCGTCGGGGAGGGATGTCCCCCGGCGGACGTGCAGGATCAGTCGATTCTTTGGAATCCGAGGCCGAGCTAGGTGAACGCAATCCTAGTCTTCGTCACTACGGAGGTCAGCGCGCCCCTGTCTCATATGGGCGCTACGACGGCGGTAGGGACTCGGCTCGACGCCGTTATTGAGCAGTGGGTCTCTGGGAGGAGCTGGCGAGGGAGTGGAGCGCTGTGTTTGAGTATTGCTCGATAATGAAATCAGATATACCCATGCATCATTCTATTACAGAGACTTTGTGATTTTCAGCTTCGGACCGCTTAGGGCACTCGGCGAGCATATGCCTGAAAAGGCTTTGATAAATAGATCCGGTAGAGCAGTGCATGCACGCATTCTGAGTCTTCGAATTGCTCCCGCCTCATCTCTACCACAGCACTCATGTCGTCGTAACGGAATCCCTCGTCACCTCCCCGTCTCGCCCGTCGCCCGCCCCCCCCCCCCATCAAAGGCATCCTCCCTCCCCGCCGCCCTTTTTTCCCTAAAACCCGCCCCGCAGCGCCAACACCAGATGCAACGTCGCCCCGCCCTCGAGGCTGTACTCCGACGCCATCTTGTCGTCCGCCCTGAGCGCGCGCAAAACGGGCCCCCGTCAGCGCCCGTGGTTCGCGGTCCCTCGCGGGCGTCCGGTGTGGGCGTGTGTGTGGGACTCACATCTGCTTCCCGCCGTAGATCAACCGCTGCTGCACGGGCGGGATCCCTTCCTTTTCCTCCACGCGCTCCTTGATGCGGGAGACCTGATGCGAGAACGGATTTTGTGTCAGCGCTGTTGTTGTTGTTGCTGCTGATGATGCCGGTCGCTTTGGGTGCTGAGGTGTAGCCAGAGGCCCATGGCATGGTGTGCCGCGCGCTGGGCATGTGGACCGGTGGTGTGCTGTACGTACCTTGTACTCCGGCTCGATGTCGAGCTCGATCTCTTTGCCGGTCAGGGTGCGGACTCTGGAGTTGCGCCGGGTGTTAGCCGGTGGTGCTGGGGGTAAGGCGGGTTGGTGATGGGGAAAGGGGGGGTCGTACTTGATGTTCATGGTTTCTTGTGCTTGGGTGGTGGTGGTGGTGGTCAGGTGGGTGGTGATTGAAGATGGAGAGCTTTTGGGAACGATTGGGGTTGTGAGGGGTTTGAGGGTGATGGGTTTGAGAGCGGGTGTTTGTAGCTGGTTGCAGAGTGTTGAATAGAGTCGATGTTGAGTTGAGCTCGTTGAGGTTGTGCAGTCACTTCCATGGACGCCTTGTAAGGCGGGGTTTTGGCGCTAGTGAGTTTGACACTTACGCTTTCTGGCTTTCTGTCTCGTATGAATACCGATTGGATTCGATTGAAGAACCAGTCAAGTGCCAGCGGTCGCAGAAAGGACTTCGTAGACTACGAGTCCTCACAGTAGGGAGGACTACGAAAAGCACCCTACCCCGTCCTCAACATACCCTTGCCCATGAGCCTACTTCCATCTCATGGTGCATATTCCCGAGAGACGCAGAGGGACTTCCAGATGCCCTTTCTAATCCCCAGTATTGTCTTTTTGATGTGGACTACTGGGGTTCGCTTTACGGGGTTACATGTTGTGGAGTGCATGCTCGGATGGTAGGAGGGCATCCAGCTCGGTCACGGAGACCACCGCTGCTCAAGCAGATTTACAGTTTAGGAATATTTGTCCAATCATCGCCGTTTTGCTGCACGTTCGGATCTGATCCACGATGCTGGCATCTTTTACCAGTCGATCTCTACCCCACGTCTCCCGATCACCTCCTGTTATTCTCTTGCATGTTACCATGACCAGCATTTTCTATTTTCCAAAAAGACATGGCTACCATCACCCAACTCCCTCGGCGTATGTGTTTTGCAGGCGGAGAGGGGCTGTCGTTGACATCGATCATCACCTTTGGATTATTCTCGCTCAGATCGAGTGGGGGTGACATACCGTAGACACTGACCACCAATGGATGGTCCTCGGGTTGCTTTGCCGTTTTCCAACGCTACGCTTACTTGTAGGGCTTTAGGATACATCTGATGTTCTGGAGAGTGGGAAGGGAATGGACGGGGGAAGCGTTGGAGACTGCACGTGTCTACCACATCATAACTGTTCATCTATTCCCTAATGAGGCCGTCGGACAAGGGAAAAGATGGAGCTTGGAAATGACAGAGTCCTTCGCATCTGACTGATGAAAAGATGTGAGGTGACGTTGGTGGTGTGAAGCTGCACCTCGCTGCGAATAGAAAAAGACTTAAGATGATAAAGTAGTAGCGCTTGAAGCCGGGACGATGATGATTTCTTTCACCGACATGATCGACAAAAAAATTCCAATCATGCAGCCACCAGTTGATGCCTTGGCCCTTGTCCCACTTCCCACTTTGCATTAGCATTAACGCTACGATAACTTTATATCTTCTTGGCTGTCCACCTTTCCCTTCTGCGACAATCAGCCTTGGAAAGAAAGCGCTCAAATTGGTTCTAGCGTAGAAGTGACCCCGCTTTAAAACTCAGATACTTGCTCGAGCGGGGTAGATCTTTTCCCTTTTCTCCCTTGTGAATGAGTATAAAGGGTATGGCGTGATGGAAGGAAAGAAGGAATGCCGAGTGTCCGACAATCGACACGTAGATCTGGAAGTAGTGTGATGCATCATGCATGAAATCTACAGGCTTTCTTTCCCTACCAAAACTCTGACATTGAACTGATTGACTGGGGTAGCTACTCAATAGCTCTCCATACCTCTCAACAAGCTCCCAAATGAACCCTTCACATTCGACCCAAACACCCCACATCATGACATCTTGCTCCGTTTGCCCCACGGAACCGCAGCACACATCCCTACCTAAACTCATCAAGTCGCGCTATTTACTTCTGCGTCGGCGCACGGCTTGAAAAAAACAAAAACAAAAAAACAAGAGTTCACAGAGGCGAGCCAAAGAGTGGAAGTCAGAGCATGGAGCACGGAGATGGAGGGAAAGTATTTAATCCAAGGGTCCCCCTCAAGATCAATAGGTCAAATCACTATCCTTCCCATTGTCTCATTGACACACGAGGACTTTTTGAACTGATCAAGTAGCTCCTCTGGAACTTACCAACTCAAAGCATGAAGCTCTTCACTACCTCCGCAGTGGCAACGCTGTTGGCAATCACAGCCATTGCCCACCCTCTCAAACGTCAAGCTGCCGTCACCGACGTTGACATCCTCCAATATGCCCTCACCCTCGAGCATCTCGAGAACACCTTTTATAAAGGCGCCATTTCAAGCATGTCAGAAGCAGACTTCATGGCAGCCGGCTTCAGCTCGGCGTACTACAATAACCTCAAGTACATCACTCACGACGAAGAACAACATGTCGAGCTACTCTCCTCCGCCCTCATGGCAGCCGGCCAAAAGCCAGTCGCAGCCTGCACATACGACTTCCCGTACACGGACCCCAAATCCTTCGTCACTCTCGCCTCCGTGCTCGAGGGTGTCGGCACATCCGCCTACCTCGGCGGTGCTGGTCTCATCACCAGCAAGGCCTACCTTGGCGTTGCAGGCTCAATCCTCGTCACCGAATCACTCCACACCTCCGTCCAACGATTTAACCTGGGAGAAGTCGCACCCGCGAACCCATACGGCACCGCACTCGGTCTCAACCCCGTCTACACCCTCGCCGCAGCGTTCATCACGTCCTGCCCGAGCACCAATGCCGCCCTTCCCGTCATGGCCTTCCCCACTCTGACCGCGACCCAGGGCATTCCCGCCGCCGAGAACATGACCTTCACCTTCAGCGTGAAGGGCACGCTTCCGACCACTTTCTACGTCGTCTTCGTCAGCGGTCTGAGTACCACGTCGGTTATGCCGACGATGCAGGGGGGCATGATCGCCGCCGTGATCCCGCCCACTGCCATGGGCCAGACTTATGTGTTCATCTCGAAGTCGATGACCAATGGGACGATCACGGACGCCATGATCTTGTACGGGCCCGCTGTCATCGAGGTGACGCCGCCCGCTCCCACGTTCGATCTCTCCGAGCATTGAGAAGGTCCGCTGGTTGGTGAAAAATGAGATGGTTGGTTGGATTGATGGATGGATGGATGTGCATAGCTGCCGATGTTGAAAGGTGGGGGAGTTCACATGATGTATGGCCCTTACGAGACAAGCATGATACCTCTGTACGGAGTACTGTAATCGGATAATCAATAATAGCACAAAGCTCTTGAACCAAACACTAGACCCCCCCCACCCATTGCCTTTTGTCGTTGAAAGCACCCGAGAGATATGACAGTGATGACATTCAAACTACATTCTTTTAGTGCGCTGCTACCAACCAGGCTCCAGCCCGCTAGAGGAATCAAAAAGCGCGTGCCGCTTAGACGCAAGTCGATGTGGAAATCGCCACCCAATACGTCACTGTCCTTGGCTGCTCCCTCGAACACGACGTCCCTTGTCCATTTAAGGGTGCAGTAGCCAATCGTGACCCTCGAACACGACGTCCCTTGTCCATTTAAGGGTGCAGCAGCCAATCGTGACGATGTCAGGCAAGTGGCGATCCGGAACATATTAACATCTGCCTCCGAAGAGGTTGGTCGGAATGGCGGTGGTGATGAGGCCATGCGGAGTAAGTCAGTGAGCGTTTCATCCATTGGTGGCTGCTTCCGATCACGAGTCGGGTGTTCTCAAGGTTCCATCCGTAGCTGGGAGTGATGGGGTGGGGTGGGGTTTCCAAGATGTTGGTCGTGCGGGTGCTGAGAGGATGAGGAGGAGGAGAAGAGTCGGTGTGGATGGGGCTGGCGAAGGGATTGATGTGGGGGGTTTAGTATATGTTTTACATGATTGATTGGCGCTTGTTAGTCGTTGAGTTGAGTTTCTGTTTGACCGCTGCTCGTCTGGAGAAAGGTTTGAGAGTCTTTGAGCGGCATGGGATGAGTGTGTGTGCTTGCGAGTCGATGGAAAGATGTTCGGGCTCAAGTTAAGGTCACACTTTGTTCTCAACACTCGCTCAACACTTGCTCAGGGCCCTATCTGGCTCAACGAAGCTTGATAATACGTGTTGAAATGAGTGATGCGGGGGGTGCCGGAAGGCAGTCTTGAAAGTCATTCATTTGTTGCCACTGACCAAGTCGTCTCTTGACACCCGATAGCCGCGAGTGTTGGCGCGCAACAACACGGTACGTCTATCGGTGGGAGCAGCGCCGAGAAACGAACCTTGGATGGCGGGACGCATTACGGCCACGTTATCGTGATGAGGATGTGTCGTGCTTGACTTCCATATCAATGTAGTCAGAAGCGGCCGTCCCCAAAATGCGCGTTCAAGCGTCATCCATTCGTGTTTCTAAAGCCTGGCTTGATGGTGGGGAGGGCCGAGGCGGTTGCTCGTTTAGTCTTTCCGAATGGCTTGGGTTCACGCCTGTTCGAGTTCCCCATTACCAGCTCCGAACCGAAGGGAATAAGCCTAGTTCCAAGATTCGTGATGGCAAACCGCGCTGCCGAATACAGGGGCGAAGCATTGCGATCTAGGTCCTTCACCCGATGAACTCGCATGTTGGCAGCTTATATTCCCTCAACGACCAGTACCGTCTCCTCACCCCTTCCCACTCCTCCTTCTCCATCTCTGGCACCTTTATAGTATCCCATTCTGTGTCAAATCCTGCCTCAAACAGATCCATCTCCAAGACTTTCCCGTAGACATCGTAACAGATCTGTCGGTCTGCACCATCTCGAGTCAGCCTGTCGACTCAAAGATGAATTTGAAATTCACAGTACACGTGTCTTGAGACCAAGAATGAAGGACTAAAAAGGGAAGAGTCACTCGAGAGCGATCTTACCGGCTCCAAGTCCATTAAAGAAGCCAAATCTGCCACCATCATCGAGTAGACCGATGATGCAATCACTAAAAAAGTCACGTAAAGCCTTGTAATCTTCGGCAAAAGTATCGAAGTAGATGGCGTCGAAGAGGATGCCTTGATCAATGATCTTGGGAACGACGTCCTGCCATCTGCCTTCATGAACGGTAACATTTGGCTTGTCGTACCAGCCGTCCTTTCTCATCCGTTCTAGGACCCCAGTGTGGGCCTCGAGAATGTGGTGAGCGCTTGGGCTCTTGTGATGGAAGAATGTGTCGATGATGCCCATACCGTGACCTATGTTGAGTATACGCAAGCCCGGTCTGGGTACGAGGAGGTCTGCGCTTCGCTTCATTAGGTCCGTCTCCCAAGCCATCATCACGCCGTTGCCGGCGCTATCGAGTATACGTCCGTCTTGAAAGCGGAGAGAGGACTGTAGGTAGTCTTCGTTGCTGATCTCTGGAGTGTCCTCTCCATTGTCGTTGAGGTCCTGTTGCCGATCATTACTTGGAGTATCTTCTTCGCCATCCTTCTTGGTTTCTTCATCAGACCCCTGCTCTTCATCTTCCTCATCATCGTTTCCCGCTAACTGTTCATACTCGTCCAGACGGTTGAGTAGCATCTCTGCCCTGACTCCAGCATCAACCATTATTTCGTAAAACTCTTTCAGACCCAGCCGCAATGCTAAACATCCCGGCGTTTCGTTGTTTTTATCAACATCATTCCAAATGGCCCCGTTTTGAAGCAAGAGCCTCATAGTCTTTGCTGCGGCCTCCACGTCTGACCCTGCAGTGCTGCTGTGGTCCCCATTCGCGGTTCCATTGACATGCCCGTTACGATCTTCCCGATCGACTGCGCCGTTTGGCGAAGGTTCGCAAGCTGCAATGGCAGCATGGAGGGGCGTAAAGCCGGTTTCTGGGTCCTGAACACTGGCAGATCCTGTGCGGAGGAGAGTTCGCAGGGGCTCGATGTTATGCGACGACGCCGCCAGGAGGATTAATTGGACTTGTATATCCGGATCTGCTTCCTGTGCAGTCTCAGCCTCCATAATTATCTTTTACAATTATGGACCGATGATGGACTCCTGGCAAGCCATAAGAAATCCACCCCACTGCCCCCCCACCAGATCTAGCGCCGCCTTATACTCGTAGTATCCAGAAGTAAGTTACCTCGCTTAGTAGCGCCGGCTATATCCACCAATTAGACTACTAGATTTCTCCGCAATATCATATTAATTCTTATCTTAGATACGAGTACGGAGGTCGGCACCAAAAGTCCTGGACAGCGCTAAAATACTTGGCACTCTTGATATTCTTGGCACTTTCTGTATAGTTACATTTATTTAACGATAATACTTTATATAATTACGTATATACTCATTAACTCGCTCGACGAAGTCGTATAATCGTATATCACCTTTCTTATAATCTTTTCTATACTCGTTATTATCTTTAAGATATATTACCTTCGTAATATATCTCGATATTCGCTCTATTTACTTCTAAATTCTCTTTTAAATAAGCTTATAATTTTAATAATATAGCTATTATCTTTCGACTTTCTTATAAATTCTTAATATATCTTTTTAAATAGTATAATATTTTATTTATAGTTAATAAGACTTAGTAAGTACTTAAATTTATTATAAGCGTATTTTATATTCTTAATATATTACTTAACTCTCTAATCTATTCGAGTTTAGCGTATCTTAATAGAGATATTTATTTACTACTTAATATCTTTCTTTTATTTATATAATTTAATATCTTAATTATTTTATTTAAAATATTTATATTAATATTACATCTATATCGATTTTAATAAAAATTAAGTTTTATTATTATTAATAATACTTTAAGTATTAGATATATTAATAAAAGATAATTAAGATAGAGAATAATAAGAAGATTTCTATTTATTATACTATATAAAAAAGACTTATATATTAGAAGTCTTTAACTTTTTATACTCTTTCTCTATTTCTTTACGCTATAATTAGTATTTTAATATTATCGCTATTATATATTCTATTAATATCGCTATTATATATATACTTCGCATATTTATACTTCGTATATTTATACTTCGTATATATATACTATGTCGCTATTATATAGAGTATTAATACTCATTAAAATAAAGAATAATAATGCTATCCATGAAATTTGGAAGTATGCCAAGCACTCAGCCCTACCTAAACCCTTATCTTGGCATATTTAGGACTTTTAATGCCGATCTCCGTAAAGGCCTATAAATTAAATTCATAATTATTTCTTTTAATTAAAGCTATCGAGCGAACTTTAATAAGCGATATTTAAATTCTTTATCTTTAAATATTTATAAGACTAAATTTAAAAATTCTTTTTTTATCTAAAAGCTTATATTATAGCTTATATTATCTTCTATAATATAAAAAAAGAATTAAAAAAATTCTAATAGAAAATAAAAATGTTATTCTAAAATTAAATATTATACTCTTATTTTTTTATTAAGACTATCGAGCGAACTTTAATAAGCGATATTTAAATTCTTTATTCTTAAATATCTATAAGACTAAATTTAATAATTCTTTATTTATCTAAAAGTCTAAATTACGTTCTATAATTTAAATAAAAAATCTTAATAATTTAATAGAAAATAAAAAAGTTATTTTAAAGTTAAATAATATATATCTAGTTTTTAATTAGAGCTATCGAGCGAACTTTAATAAGCGAACTTTAATAAATAATATTTAAGCTTCTTACTTTTTAATAATTATAAGATTAAATTTTATATTTCTTTTAATATTAAATAGCGTAAACTAGACTTTATAATTAAAAAAAAATCTTAAAATTTTAATAGAAAATAAAAAAGTTATTTTATTTATAAATAATAGATATTTAATTTTTAATAAAAAGACGTAAAAGAATTATTAAACTAACTTAGTTAATCTAATTAAAAAGCGTAGCGAACTCGAATTTATAATTAATTATATATATAAATTTAAGATTTTATAACTTAGCTTTATCTTATTCTTTTATATATATTAATAAAAGAGATAAGCTATTATTCTTTAATAATAGCTTTAAATATTATATTCGTATATAAGTAAGTCTTTCTACTAGTCTTTCTATATTTATTACTTATATAAAAACTTTAAAAAATATTTTTATTAATTATTATCGTCGTTAAATAGATAATATTATTATATTTACTCTTTAATAAATAAATATCTTTTAAATCTCTCTTACTAATATTACTATACTTAATAATAATAATATAATATTTCTAAATTAAATAAATCGTAAATAAGAGAAGAATATATTAAAATATTATTTAGAGTATAAGATTATAATTAGATATATTTACGCTATATAATAAAGCGAGATAAAATAAGATTTTAAATATCTAATATATTACGATTCTAATAATCTTACTTATATTATAGCCTAATTAAGCTTAGCGTACTAAGATCTTTTAATCTTTTTATCTTACTATAAAATTTATATTTATAATAATTCTATATAAATAGTATTCTCTTTATACTATAATATAGAGTTATTATATATATTATTAAATTCTTAATATAATATTATTTATCTTTCTTTTAAAGTAATAGCGATTTATTTATTAATTATATTAAATATATAATTAAGAAAAAAATATATTATTAAGAAGTTAGTAGCTATAGCTAAAGAAGCTTATTATTTAAAAAATTATTTAAAAAAAAATCTTTTATTTATATAAAGATTAATCTAGCTAGATTAAATAAAAAATTAAAAAAAATAGATATCTTTAATATATTAAAAGAAATAGACTTTAGATTAAATTTTCTTTATATATTTATTAATTTAATACTAGCTATATATCTCTTAATTTTAAATCTAAATAATATTTAAAATTAAATTATTATAAATAAATTATAAATATATTATTATTTAGAAGAATTTAAGAACTTTAATAAGAAGATTCTAAATATTAATAAAGTTAGATTATTTATATAATATAAAAAAAAGCGTTCTATCTTTAGAAGATATATTATTAAATTTAATTTAAATTATATCGAAGTATAACTTATAAATATTATCGAAAAAGAGTTAATTATAATCTTTATCTTTATTTTTAATTTATAAAATTTTATAAAAAGCGCTATTAAAACTTCTAATATTTAATATAATAAATTAAAGATATTAATAGAAAGCTTTTAAATTACTAGTCGTAATATTAAAATATTTTAATAATAAAATAAAGAATTTAATTATAATATTATTTAAATTAAGATAAAGATATTAATAATTAATATTTAACTAAGTAATAATAATAGTTAATTATCTTATAAGCGAGAAATTAATAATAAACTTCGAGGTTTATATAATAGATATCGTATTAATATTATAAAACTTATTAAAAAAATAAGAAATTTAAATAAGATTTAAAATATAAAGAGTAATAGCTAAAGAAGTAATAATTTTATATATTAATTAATTTAAAAAACTTCGATAAGAAAGATATAGAGATTATATCTTATTAACTAAATATTTCTATTAATAGTATTTATTAAAACTTATATTATATCTCTATTACGAATCGCGTAGAGAATATAAAATTAAATAAATAATATCTTAATATTTTAGATTTTTATAATATTAATAATTAAGATAAGTAAAATAGTTAATATTAATATTTTAAAGCGAAATTTAAATAAAGTATTATAATCTTCTTTATTAAATTTAAAAAAATTAATTATATATAAGATTATTATAAGATTATTATATATAATATTATTAAAATAAAAGTAGATAAAAATATTTTAGATTTATATTAAATTATTTAAGAAATAATTAATAAATTAGATAATATATTTAGAATATATAATAAAATTATTAAATTAAATATTAAGATATTTAATTTTAAATTTAATATAAAAGTAATAGATAAGAAGAAATTATTTAAGAATTTCTATATACGATTCTCTATAACTATTACTCTTTTAGAATTTATTAATATTTATAAAATATTTAATCTAAAATAATTAATCTTTATATATCTAAAATATTAGATTTTAAAATAATCTTTTAATATTTTTTAAGAATTAATTATTTTTCTATAAGTATTAAATATAAATTTTTAAGCTATTAATAATACGTTAAACTTAAAAAGTAAGAAAGAGATTAATAAAATTAATAATAATTATAAAAATTTTATTCTTTTAAATAATTAGCGTAATTCTTTTTTTACTAAAAAAAATAATATTATTATTATTAAGAATTCTTATATATAAGAATATAAGTATTTTAAACTATTAATAGATAGAATTTAAAAAAAAGATAAATATTTTAAATATCTAAAAATTAAATATTATTTTAATAATAATAATATTTTATATAAAAATATAGATTTATTAATAAAAGAATAAATTAATATAATTCTAAAAGCCGTCGATATAGAGAAGAATATCTCTATCAAATTATTATAAGAATTAAAAAATTAAATATCTCTAATTAAGTCGTTATTAAAAATCTAAAAGTTTTATATATAAAAATTAAAGAGTTAGAAATAGAAAGAATACTCGCTTTTATCTCTCTATTCGCGTATATTATTATTATTAAAATCTCTTTATAGAATAAACGCTAATTAGATTTTTATAGAAAAACTATTATATTAATAAAATAAATTAAAATTAATTATCTTTTAAATATTAAAGCTTTAATATTAAGCTTTATAAATATATCTTTTATTAAAATAAATAAGTTATTTAAAGTAATATTAATATAATTTTATAAATTATAATTAATTAATAATAAATCTATCTTTATTTTTAATATTATATATATAATCTTAATAAAATTTATTTTAAAAGATTATATAAAAGAACTTTAATACTTAATTATCTTATTAAAATAATTTAATATTATTTTAAAAATATTATTATTAGAATAGTATAATTCTTATATATTCTTTAAAGCTAGAATTATTATATTTAATTTAAATTATTATATATCTAACTATTTATTATATAATAAATCTATTATTATTTAAAATAATAATAAATCTTTAAAAAAGAATTTA